CATGTTTGTGGTGTTGTGGTCAAGTTGGTCATGTCTGTGGTGTTGTGGTCAAGTTGGTCATGTCTGTGGTGTTGTGGTCAACTTGGTTATGTCTGTGGTGTTGTGGTCAAGTTGGTCATGTCTGTGGTGTTGTGGTCAAGTTGGTCATGTCTGTGGTGTTGTGGTCAAGTTGGTCATGTCTGTGGTCAAGTTGGTCATGTATGTGGTGTTGTGGTCAAGTTGGTAATGTCTGTGGTGTTGTGGTCAAGTTGGTCATGTCTGTGGTCAAGTTGGTCATGTCTGTGGTGTTGTGGTCAAGTTGGTCATGTCTGTGGTCAAGTTGGTAATGTCTGTGGTCAAGTTTGTCATGTCTGTGGTGTTGTGGTCAAGTTGGTCATGTCTGTGGTCAAGTTGGTCATGTCTGTGGTGTTGTGGTCAAGTTGGTCATGTCTGTGGTCAAGTTGGTCATGTCTGTGGTGTTGTGGTCAAGTTGGTAATGTCTGTGGTGTTGTGGTCAAGTTGGTCATGTCTGTGGTCAAGTTGGTCATGTCTGTGGTGTTGTGGTCAAGTTGGTAATGTCTGTGGTGTTGTGGTCAAGTTGGTCATGTCTGTGGTCAAGTTGGTCATGTTTGTGGTGTTGTGGTCAAGTTGGTCATGTATGTGGTCAAGTTGGTCATGTCTGTGGTGTTGTGGTCAAGTTAGTCATGTCTGTGGTCAAGTTGGTCATGTCTGTGGTGTTGTGGTCAAGTTGGTCATGTCTGTGGTGTTGTGGTCAAGTTGGTCATGTCTGTGGTGTTGTGGTCAAGTTGGTCATGTCTGTGGTTAAGTTGGTTATGTCTGTGGTGTTGTGGTCAAGTTGGTCATGTCTGTGGTGTTGTGGTCAAGTTGGTCATGTCTGTGGTGTTGTGGTCAAGTTGGTCATGTCTGTGGTGTTGTGGTCAAGTTGGTCATGTCTGTGGTGTTGTGGTCAAGTTGGTCATGTCTGTGGTTAAGTTGGTTATGTCTGTGGTGTTGTGGTCAAGTTGGTCATGTCTGTGGTGTTGTGGTCAAGTTGGTCATGTCTGTGGTGTTGTGGTCAAGTTGGTCATGTCTGTGGTTAAGTTGGTTATGTCTGTGGTGTTGTGGTCAAGTTGGTCATGTCTGTGGTGTTGTGGTCAAGTTGGTCATGTCTGTGGTGTTGTGGTCAAGTTGGTCATGTCTGTGGTCAAGTTGGTCATGTCTGTGGTCAAGTTGGTCATGTCTGTGGTGTTGTGGTCAAGTTGGTAATGTCTGTGGTGTTGTGGTCAAGTTGGTCATGTCTGTGGTCAAGTTGGTCATGTCTGTGGTGTTGTGGTCAAGTTGGTAATGTCTGTGGTGTTGTGGTCAAGTTGGTCATGTCTGTGGTCAAGTTGGTCATGTCTGTGGTGTTGTGGTCAAGTTGGTCATGTATGTGGTCAAGTTGGTCATGTCTGTGGTGTTGTGGTCAAGTTAGTCATGTCTGTGGTCAAGTTGGTCATGTCTGTGGTGTTGTGGTCAAGTTGGTCATGTCTGTGGTCAAGTTGGTCATGTCTGTGGTGTTGTGGTCAAGTTGGTAATGTATGTGGTCAAGTTGGTCATGTCTGTGGTCAAGTTGGTCATGTTTGTGGTGTTGTGGTCAAGTTGGTCATTTCTGTGGTTTTGTGGTCAAGTTGGTCATGTCTGTGGTGTTGTGGTCAAGTTGGTCATTTCTGTGGTTTTGTGGTCAAGTTGGTCATGTCTGTGGTCAACTTGGTCATGTCTACTGACTATTCGAATTGTTAACTAGCCATCATAACTGTCTATTCTGCAAAGTGCTGGTTGGCGTGTATGTCTGTCATCAGCTAATGACGTCCAGCAAAAGTTGGCGTGCTGGTCTGTCACAGACCGCCGATTCTCCGTTAATCCAACAAAAACAATCACACAAAAATGTTGGCCTGTTGGATGGTCAGAAAAAAATGTTGGACGGCCAGAAAAAGTTTCTGAAACCCCTCTTGCGTGACCACTGAGTTGTTGAACAAAGTCACGTGACGTGAACACGTGGTTCACACTGGAACATGATGTCAAAATTTTGGAGGCCGGCTAGTGAGAGGCCGGCTAGTGAGAGACCGGCTAGTGAGAGGCCGGCTAGTGAGAGGCCGGCTAGAGAGAGGCCGGCTAATGAGAGAGTGGCCGGCTAATGAGAGAGTGGCCGGCTAGTGAGAGAGTGGCCGGCTAGTGAGAGAGAGGCCGGCTAGTGAGAGAGTGGCCGGCTAGTGAGAGAGTGGCCGGCTAGTGAGAGAGAGGCCGGCTAGTGAGAGAGTGGCCGGCTAGTGAGAGAGTGGCCGGCTAGTGAGAGAGAGGCCGGCTAGTGAGAGAGTGGCCGGCTAGTGAGAGAGTGGCCGGCTAGTGAGAGACCGGCTAGTGAGAGGCCGGCTAGTGAGAGGCCGGCTAGTGAGAGGCCGGCTAGTGAGAGGCCGGCTAGAGAGAGGCCGGCTAATGAGAGAGTGGCCGGCTAATGAGAGAGTGGCCGGCTAGTGAGAGAGTGGCCGGCTAGTGAGAGAGAGGCCGGCTAGTGATAGAGTGGCCGGCTAGTGAGAGAGTGGCCGGCTAGTGAGAGAGTGGCCGGCTAATGAGAGAGTGGCCGGCTAGTGAGAGAGTGGCCGGCTAGTGAGAGAGAGGCCGGCTAGTGAGAGAGTGGCCGGCTAGTGAGAGAGAGGCCGGCTAGTGAGAGAGTGGCCGGCTAATGAGATAGTGGCCGGCTAGTGAGAGAGAGGACGGCTAGTGAGAGGCCGGCTAGTGAGAGGCCGGCTAGTGAGAGGCCGGCTAGTGAGAGGCCGGCTAGTGAGAGGCCGGCTAGTGAGAGAGTGGCCGGCTAGTGAGAGAGTGGCCGGCTAGTGAGAGGCCGGCTAGTGAGAGAGTGGCCGGCTAGTGAGAGAGTGGCCGGCTAGTGAGATAGTGGCCGGCTAGTGAGAGAGAGGCCGGCTAGTGAGAGAGAGGCCGGCTAGTGAGAGAGTGGCCGGCTAGTGAGAGAGTGGCCGGCTAGTGAGAGAGTGGCCGGCTAGTGAGAGAGTGGCCGGCTAGTGAGAGAGTGGCCGGCTAGTGAGAGAGATGCCGGCTAGTGAGAGAGTGGCCGGCTAGTGAGAGAGTGGCCGGCTAGTGAGAGGCCGGCTAGTGAGAGGCCGGCTAGTGAGAGGCCGGCTAGTGAGAGGCCGGCTAGTGAGAGGCCGGCTAGTGAGAGGCCGGCTAATGAGAGCCCGGCTAGTGAGAGGCCGGCTAGTGAGAGCCCGGCTTGTTTGTTCACAGGGCCATATAGCTCCATGTGTCCTGTATGACATTTTGTGACATTTCAGAAACAGCCCTCGGCAAGTTCTTCCTAATGACATCACACAAACACGCACATCATGTCCTGATATCCTATCAGATTTTTATTCATTAGAATAGAAATTAACCAGTAGTAATTAACCAGTAGTAATTAACCAGCAGTAATTAACCAGTAGTTATTAACCAGTAGTAATTAACCAGTAGTAATTAACCAGCAGTAATTAACCAGTAGTAGTTAACACGTGACAAATTTTTTGTTTGCTTTTTGACAGGTGGAGCTGCCTGCAAAGTTCCCGATTGACACATATGACAAATGTCATGTCATGTCATATTGGCTTCAAGTCTCAAATACTCACCAAACTCTCATGGAAAGTGATATAATCGCAACATAGATGGCCACCACTAGCTGGCCACATCACTAGCTGGCCACATCACTAGCTGGCCACATCACTAGCTGGCCACATCACCAGCTGACCACATCACTAGCTGGCCACATCACTAGCTGGCCACATCACTAGCTGGCCACATCACTAGCTGACCACATCACTAGCTGGCCACATCACTAGCTGGCAACTAGCTGGCCACATCACTAGCTGACCACATCACTAGCTGGCCACATCACTAGCTGGCCACATCACTAGCTGACCACATCACTAGCTGGCCACATCACTAGCTGGCAACTAGCTGGCCACATCACTAGCTGACCACATCACTAGCTGGCCACATCACTAGCTGGCCACATCACTAGCTGGCCACATCACTAGCTGGCCACATCACCAGCTGACCACATCACTAGCTGGCCACATCACTAGCTGGCCACATCACTAGCTGGCCACATCACTAGCTGACCACATCACTAGCTGGCCACATCACTAGCTGGCAACTAGCTGGCCACATCACTAGCTGACCACATCACTAGCTGGCCACAGTGCTCACTTCTTTCATCTACGTGACCCCCAAGTTACACCATGTGAACCCCTCCCCCCACCCCCTCTGCTATAAGTTGTCGATATTGCCACGGCGTCTTCCATTTAATCCAGGGCTTGCGTCAACATTTTGGGCTTTCACAAGTTGGAGGCATCTTGCTCACATAGGGCTTTTAATCCTGCGGGCTTTCGTCTTATTTACCTCGCTTGCTCTCATAAACATGACGTCAATATTTTCCTTAAAAGCGGGCGGACATTTCTCAGGCTAAATTGTCCGTGTAGTTAGACAAGGGAGAGAAACACGGAAAGAGAACAAGTCCAAAGGGAGATCAACGTGAAAACAAGGGGGACAACTAGCTAGATGATACAAGGGGAGAGAAGTCAAAACAAGGGAGGTGGCTGTCCAGGAAAGAGCTGCGTGTTGCAGACAGTGAGCAAAAATTGCCTGACTGCTAACAACGCTGCTGGCACGCCACGTGCTGACGTAAGAAATCACGCGTGAGACCAGATCACGCCACCATCGCCCCCCCCCCCAAACTTTCGTCAGCTACAGGCGCCACGTGCTGGCGGTAATGGAGGAGAACTCTTGTTGTGATTTTTTACGTCCCGATTTGTTGCTTTTTACACGGAGCAATGAGGGGGAACCTAGGGAACATCGTCACACAGCGTCACGTGGAACTATCGGGATCGTGGAACATGAGACGGGGAACATGAGATGTGTAGATCATAAGGCGAGAGTAAGGAAAATATACGGGAACATTCAGGGAACTATAAGAGAGTAGACATAAGAGGCTTAACATGAGTGGAGGTGGGCAGGAGAGGGAGGGGGTCACTTATGGCATGGGGAGGGAAGGGGTCACAGAGCTCCCGCAGGAAAAAGTCGATGGAAACGAGGTCATGAACGGCCTGCAGGTCAAGGTTAGTGAGGACAAGGTCACTGACACGTCTTCTGTTCTAGAGAACAGACGTGCTTCAACTGACAAGTTCAAGGACGTGGGCAGCAGGTCGTGTGACGTCAGAGGGAGCAGCTGTTGTGAGAGTGCCGGTGTGCGGCATCAGCCTGCAGCAGGGTCCCTGTCTATAGGTATACAACCCCAGACCTCACAACCCAGACCTCACAACCATCTCACAACCCCAGACCTCACAACCATCTCACAACCCCAGACCTCGCAACCACCTCACAACCCCAGACCTCACAACCATCTCACAACCCCAGACCTCGCAACCATCACGACAACCCCATACCTCGCAACCATCTCACAACCCCAGACCACTAGCTGGCCACTAGTTGACCATCATCTTCAACTAACCTGAACATGACCATCATCTGACCTGAACATGACCATCATCTGACCTGAACATGACCATCATCTGACCTGAACATGACCATCATCTGACCTGAACAGGACCATCATCTGACCTGAAAATGACCATCATCTTCATCTGACCTGAACATGACCATCATCTGACCTGAACATGACCTTCATCTGACCTGAAAATGACCATCATCTGACCTGAACATGACCATCATCTGACCTGAACATGACCATCATCTGACCTGAACATAACCATCATCTGACCTGAACATGACCATCATCTTCATCTGACCTGAACATGACCATCATCTGACCTGAACATGACCATCATCTGACCTGAACATGACCAACTTCTGACCTGAACATGTCCATCATCTGACCTGAACATGACCATCATCTGACCTGAACATGACCATCATCTGACCTGAACATGACCAACTTCTGACCTGAACATGACCATCATCTGACCTGAACATGACCATCATCTGACCTGAACATGACCAACTTCTGACCTGAACATGTCCATCATCTGACCTGAACATGTCCATCATCTGACCTGAACATGACCATCATCTGACCTGAACATGACCATCATCTGACCTGAACATGACCAACTTCTGACCTGAACATGTCCATCATCTGACCTGAACATGACCATCATCTGACCTGAACATGACCATCATCTGACCTGAACATGACCAACTTCTGACCTGAACATGTCCATCATCTGACCTGAACATGACCATCATCTGACCTGAACATGATCATCATCTGACCTGAACATGACCATCATCTGACCTGAACATGACCATCATCTTCATCTGACCTGAACATGACCATCATCTGACCTAAACATAACCATCATCTGACCTGAACATGACCATCATCTTCATCTGACCTGAACATGACCATCATCTGACCTGAACATGACCACCATGTTCATCTGACCACACAACCTGACCTTATATTCACCTGCCCACGTGACTCTACCCTGATTTGATCACGTGTCACCCCTGCGACAGCTCAGCACGAGAGGCCCGCACAGTCGCGCGATGCACCTGGACCCGGGGGTGGAGCGACGTCTCAGCCAGCGGCGTGTTCCAGCCACACACCCCCAGTCGGCCTGGTGACGGGAGACGAGCTGCCCGTGGGGGAGACGAGAGAAGGTCCGCCATCACCCGCCCAGCCTGCCACCAGCCTAGACGGTAACTACAACTTTTTTTACTGCCATAACTCATATGTAGGTCAGGTGACGTCAGCACTATTAGAACTTTTTTACTGCCATAACTCATATGTAGGTCAGGTGACGTCAGCATTATTAGAACTTTTTTTACTGCCATAACTCATATGTAGGTCAGGTGACGTCAGCACTATTAGAACTTTTTTACTGCCATAACTCATATGTAGGTCAGGTGACGTCAGCACTATTAGAACTTTTTTACTGCCATATATAGGTCAGATGACGTCAGTGCAATTAGCAAACTGTTAGGCCTTCTACTGGCATAGGTTCATTAATTAAGCTCCAATTTGCTTAAATTGATATTTGAGGTTTGTATGTTGATTAACTTGTTGCTTTGCAATCATATGTGTATGGCCTAGTAGCCAGCTACATGCATGGCCTAATGGCCAAACACATGCATGGCCCAGTGTGGCCACTGGCAAACACGCTGTATTGTAAACATGAAACAATGAACCTATAAATGTGAACGTAGGTACCAAAGCTTGATCTATCAATGTTGGTGTGTTTTAAACTTGAAAAACTTTTTCATTGCCAGAAAAAAACCATGCACCTCCTACCTGGCCAGCGCAGAGGGAATTATTGACTGCAGGCGTCCGTGTTTCACTAGCAGACGTCACGCCAGAGGCCGTTCATTTGTTTAAAAGTTTGGGCGGGGAAGTTTTAGATGGTTTACAGACTGAGTCTAGCACCAGCAGACAAACTGGGCGCCACTTCAAGACACCAGCGTTCACACGTCATGCCGGCAAACAGGTCACAGACCAGAGCTTAGGTGCCGGCAGACCGGTCACAGACCAGAGCCTTAGTGCCGGCAGACCGGCCACAGACCAGAGCCTTAGTGCCGGCAGACCGGCCACAGACCAGAGCCTTAGTGCCGGCAGACCGGTCACAGACCAGAGCTTAGGTGCCGGCAGACCGGTCACAGACCAGAGCTTAGGTGCCGGCAGACCGGTCACAGACCAGAGCTTAATTGCCGGCAGACCGGTCACAGACCAGAGCCTTAGTGCCGGCAGACCGGTCACAGACCAGAGCCTTAGTGCCGGCAGACCGGTCACAGACCAGAGCCTTAGTGCCGGCAGACCGGCCACTAATCAGCGTGCCAGACCTATGCCATGTGAGCCCATACACCCCCGCCTACAGTTCGCGTCTCGGCTAGACTCTGCTAGCAGCTCTGGGGACACGTTTGCCTCAGACCTGCCAGAAGATGACCCGCTGCTAGGATCGGCTGCTGATCTTGGCGCCATTTTTAAAAATAAAAAATTGGACAGAGTAGCTCTCAGTGATAGACACGTGACAGGAAGCGATGCTGATTGGTCACAGCCTCAAAATGACGTCATCCAGCCGAGGCATCGGCTAGACCAGCTGGACGACACCTCGATATTCTACAGGACAGCTGGGCACAGCTGCAGCCGGGGACGTGTACAGCCGGGGTCAGCCAGAGCTGGGCACAGCTACAGCCGGCTGAAGCCGTGGTCCTCCCACGACAGTTTGCTGCCCCACACGTGCCTGACCGCGGGGCATTTGTTCAAGTCTGCCACCATACCGTCCCTAGACTACCCGCCCCCCGCCCAGGCCGTCGTGGTCAGGATCTCTCAGGACGACCCTGATCACGTGACAGCGCCCAAGCCAAAAGTCTCTTTCATGGACAGTCTCCGTCGCTTCTCTCGGGATAAAGCTTGGCTCCTGCGGGTAGACGGCGGCTCCCTCCTCAACAACAACTCGATCGGCAGCTCTGAGGACAGGACCAGCAGGACATTCCCCGTCCCCGGGCACTCGCCGGGTGGGGACACACGGCGTAAGAGACTGGGGAACCGCACCAAGCTCAAGGTCGAGTTCGCCATGATGGAGGAGGACGGCACCAGAGGGGGCGGCCTCAAGGAGGAGATCGAGAACAAGGTGGCCATGTTAGGGGGGAGCACCTCCCGCTTCCGTCAGCCCCGGGTGTCTCTGCTGGGGCGCCCCCTCAACTACAAGGCCCACAGACGAGACATGCGCTACAGGAGGCTACAGGCCCGGATATACAACTTCCTGGAGCGGCCCAAACACTGGGGCTCATGGACTTACCACATCTTTATGTAAGTTTTACCACATCTTTATCTAAGTTTTACCACATCTTTATGTAAGTTTTACCACATCTTTATCTAAGTTGTACCACATCTTTATCTAAGTTTTACCACATCTTTATGTAAGTTTTACCACATCTTTATCTAAGTTTTACCACATCTTTATCTAAGTTTTACCACATCTTTATCTAAGTTTTTCCACATCTTTATGTAAGTTTTACCACATCTTTATCTAAGTTTTACCACATCTTTATCTAAGTTTTACCACATCTTTATGTAAGTTTTACCACATCTTTATCTAAGTTTTACCACATCTTTATCTAAGTTTTACCACATCTTTATGTAAGTTTTACCACATCTTTATGTAAGTTTTACCACATCTTTATCTAAGTTTTACCACATCTTTATGTAAGTTTTACCACATCTTTATCTAAGTTTTACCACATCTTTATCTAAGTTTTACCACATCTTTATCTAAGTTTTACCACATCTTTATCTAAGTTTTACCACATCTTTATCTAAGTTTTACCACATCTTTATGTAAGTTTTACCACATCTTTATGTAAGTTTTACCACATCTTTATCTAAGTTTTACCACATCTTTATCTAAGTTTTACCACATCTTTATCTAAGTTTTACCACATCTTTATGTAAGTTTTACCACATCTTTATCTAAGTTTTACCACATCTTTATCTAAGTTTTACCACATCTTTATCTAAGTTTTACCACATCTTTATCTAAGTTTTACCACATCTTTATCTAAGTTTTACCACATCCTTATCTAAGTTTTACCACATCTTTATCTAAGTTTTACCACATCTTTATGTAAGTTTTACCACATCTTTATCTAAGTTTTACCACATCTTTATCTAAGTTTTACCACATCTTTATGTAAGTTTTACCACATCTTTATGTAAGTTTTACCACATCTTTATCTAAGTTTTACCACATCTTTATGTAAGTTTTACCACATCTTTATGTACGTTTTACCACATCTTTATCTAAGTTTTACCACATCTTTATGTAAGTTTTACCACATCTTTATCTAAGTTTTACCACATCTTTATCTAAGTTTTACCACATCTTTATCTAAGTTTTACCACATCTTTATCTAAGTTTTACCACATCTTTATGTAAGTTTTACCACATCTTTATCTAAGTTTTACCACATCTTTATCTAAGTTTTACCACATCTTTATGTAAGTTTTACCACATCTTTATGTAAGTTTTACCACATCCTTATCTAAGTTTTACCACATCCTTATGTAAGTTTTACCACATCTTTATGTAAGTTTTACCACATCTTTATGTAAGTTTTACCACATCTTTATGTAAGTTTTACCACATCTTTATGTAAGTTTTACCACATCCTTATCTAAGTTTTACCACATCCTTATCTAAGTTTTACCACATCTTTATGTAAGTTTTACCACATCTTTATCTAAGTTTTACCACATCTTTATGTAAGTTTTACCACATCTTTATCTAAGTTTTACCACATCTTTATCTAAGTTTTACCACATCTTTATGTAAGTTTTACCACATCTTTATCTAAGTTTTACCACATCTTTATGTAAGTTTTACCACATCTTTATGTAAGTTTTACCACATCTTTATCTAAGTTTTACCACATCTTTATCTAAGTTTTACCACATCTTTATGTAAGTTTTACCACATCTTTATCTAAGTTGTACCACATCTTTATCTAAGTTTTACCACATCTTTATGTAAGTTTTACCACATCTTTATCTAAGTTTTACCACATCTTTATCTAAGTTTTACCACATCTTTATGTAAGTTTTACCACATCTTTATCTAAGTTTTACCACATCTTTATCTAAGTTTTACCACATCTTTATGTAAGTTTTACCACATCTTTATCTAAGTTTTACCACATCTTTATGTAAGTTTTACCACATCTTTATCTAAGTTTTACCACATCTTTATCTAAGTTTTACCACATCTTTATGTAAGTTTTACCACATCTTTATGTAAGTTTTACCACATCTTTATCTAAGTTTTACCACATCTTTATCTAAGTTTTACCACATCTTTATCTAAGTTTTACCACATCTTTATCTAAGTTTTACCACATCTTTATGTAAGTTTTACCACATCTTTATCTAAGTTTTACCACATCTTTATGTAAGTTTTACCACATCTTTATCTAAGTTTTACCACATCTTTATCTAAGTTTTACCACATCTTTATCTAAGTTTTACCACATCTTTATCTAAGTTTTACCACATCTTTATCTAAGTTTTACCACATCTTTATGTAAGTTTTACCACATCTTTATCTAAGTTTTACCACATCTTTATCTAAGTTTTACCACATCTTTATCTAAGTTTTACCACATCTTTATCTAAGTTTTACCACATCTTTATCTAAGTTTTACCACATCTTTATGTAAGTTTTACCGCATCTTTATGTAAGTTTTACCACATCTTTATCTAAGTTTTACCACTTATTCAGATGTACCACCTTTTACTTTCTTGTATAAAGAGAACCATTAACAGATATTTTGACAGTTTTCACCGTTTTACAACTCCGTATTTTATCTTATACAGAATAAAAAGGATGTATTGTAATCGTGCGAAAAATCGAAATCGAGATTTTCACAAACTTTAATGTTTTACAACCTTTCGGAGCCGGAAAAATTTAATTTTGCCATCCTGACCTAGTTAATGTGATGACATGAGTACCGGTTCAGTTACTTTGACGAAATTTCATATACAGGTATTATATTGAATTTCTTCTTTCATCTTTTGAGCGATTTCCGGTAACTGAAAGGGGTAGCCTACTTATTCCACCTCCGGTCCCCTAACAGCCTGTAATGTGAGAACCGTTGAAGTTAGGCGGACAAAATGTCCTAGATAAGATCATATACTCGAATTACTCGAGTGACCTCAAATATCTTCACGTGGTACTTTATTCTATTTCCGTTTTCTAAAATACCGATAACAGAAGAACCGTTTCAATTAGATGGAACAAATTTTATTCAAAGATATAAGATCTTACTCTTTAAATTGTTTCAAATTTTGAGTATTTTCTGCTGACCGGATGTAGTACTTTACGCTATTTCCGATTTCTAAAAAAAATATGAGCCTCTTCAGATTTAGGTAGGTCTTCTGTCGTCCTCCCTCACGTCACGTAGGTCTTCTGTCGTCCTCCCTCACGTCACGTAGGTCTTCTGTTATATATATATATATATATATATATATATATATATATATATATATATATATATATATATATATATATATATATATATATATATATATATATATATAAGCGTGCCCGTCCCCGCGTGTTGCCGCGAGGTCAGAGGAAAGTCTGACGAAATATATTATATATATATATTATTATTATATTATATATATTATATATATATTAATAAATCAATGCGTTACCAATCCTATATTCTTAGAATGTGACCCTGTTTTCTAATACTGAGCTATTTAAATATAAACAATGCATCCGCTTGGATCATATTTATCGGGCACGGGCTTACCTACACTACCGCCCAGTGCGCCCCATGGCATGCTGTATGAAAGCCTTGAGTGTACGTTAATCACTCACCCTAATAGTGAGGAAGAACACACTTCGCTGACCGCCCAGGTGTCAGGGCGTAGACGGGCGCTCTCGGTAGCCCCGGATTACACTACCGCAGTGGCGCCGCGTACTGAACCTGGCTCGGTTCAATCATCGAATGGCGTATGTGTCAATATTGTAGGGTGCTCATTAAAACTAAAGTAGGCGCCAGAGTGCTCACAGGATAGCGCAGGGCTCCAAATCGCACCCAGCTGGGGCGCCTGCGGACGCGCCTGATTCAATTTAGTGAACGATTATAATGCCTCATCTTATCCATAGTCTATCGCACTGTTATAAACGAACGTATGCGCCATAGCGCTCAAGTCAAGCCCGTAATTCATTGAAAGGCTCAATAGAAAAATCCGATGTATCGGAATAGAAAAACCGATGTACGGAATAGAAAAACCGATGTACGGAATAGAAAAACCGATGTACGGAATAGAAAAACCGATGTACGGAATAGAAAAACTGACATTGCCAAATCAATCTGATGTTTGTTTAGCGGGAAACCTTTTATCTCACAAAACCTCGTATCATACGTGTAGCCTTTCTTTGACAACCCCAGACACCCCTGACAACCCCAGACAACCCCTGTCAACCCCTGACAATCCCAGACACCCCTGACAACCCCTGACAATCCCAGACAACCCCTGACAACCCCTGACAACCTGAGAGAGGTAAAGATGTAAGTCTTGTCATCTCGCTAAATCTGCTCTCCAGGCCTATTATTAGCCCTGTAATGTGTTTTTAAAACACCAGCCCAGCTACCAAAATGCCGCCAGACTTTGATAAAAAAAATTGAGAAGCTTTCATGTCCCTAATCTCTGTGAGATACTTCGTTATCTTGTACATTAGTTTCTTATTCGATTAGTTGCATTCGTTTGTTCATTTTGTGCTTTCGTTCGTTTTTTTTTTTTTTTTGGTTTCATTATGTTGTAACTTCATAAACTCATTAACATGTTTTTGTTGTATTAGTTTGTCCAATTATTTGTTATATTTGTGTGTGGGTGTGTGTTCGCGCCAAGTGTGTGTGTGTGTGTCGATTTATGTGTGTAAACCCAAGCTTTAAACCCTAACATCTTTAGGCTAAACCCCAAACCCTAACATCTTTAGGCTAAACCCCAAACTCTAACATCTTTAGGCTAAACCCCAAACCCTAACATCTTTAGGCTAAACCCCAAACCCTAACATCTTTAGGCTAAACCCCAAACCCTAACATCTTTAGGCTAAACCCCAAACCCTAACATCTTTAGGCTAAACCCCAAACCCTAACATCTTTAGGCTAAACCCCAAACCCTAACATCTTTAGGCTAAACCCCAAACCTTAACATCTTTAGGCTAAACCCCAAACCCTAACATCTTTAAGCTAAACCCCAAACCCTAACATCTTTAGGCTAAACCCCAAACCCTAACATCT